CTCTTAACTTGGCAGACGATTCAGAGAAGTACGTTAACTAGCTAAATTGGGAGTCCATGTAATCAGAGATTTAAGCCAATTCCTAAGCTGAGCACAGAAGAAGGAGGAATTCACTCTGATTTGGGACATTTGGAAAGGTCTCCCATAGAGGGAGTGGGACATTTGTGCTGCTCCTTGGATAGGGTAAACATTGGAACACCCAGGGTTTTCTGGGTCAGTCCCAGTTTACATTGTTATCCAGGCACAATTATATTACTGCCTTTTCATGCTCAAAGGTTTTCTTTGGACAATAAATTATATGATCACACTAGTATTCATTCGTACATATGGTGTTGACAGGGAAAAGAAGGAGGGAACAAACTTCAGATGGATCAAACAACAAGTCAAAAGGCATAGAGGAATAAAATCCCATGGCATATTTAGGGAAAAACTATGCATCTTTCTCTTATGTGCTCAAAATAGGGCATTTCCCCCCTTTTCCTAATGCTGCTTGAATTGAAATGGGAGTATGTTCTAGAAGATCTGTCATGAGCTTTTCTGTTTGCATGTTTAACTTATTATTTTTTTTCTAGGAATGTGACTATTATGCAAAGACCTTTTTCTATATTCATTTTTCATTTTCCATTTTCATTTGGCCAGTTTTATTTCTGACAAAGTACCACTGTCACATTACAGAGGAAGAGAGAGAAGTTAAAAACCAATTCATACATTTCATCATCTACCTTCTGACCAGTTAATATTGCGTTAGAAAATATAATGTGCTTGGATTTTGTGTACATTCCAAGAAACAAGTATTTAAAGAGAAAGTAACCAAAATTAGAAAGATATTATTTCTGTCTTTATAACTCTTCAGGGGGAGAGGAATGGAATATGCTGAAATGATAAAGAAATTCTTAACCAACTTGCATTGTTTTAGAATAACAGATTTACATTATTACTTGTTGTGTGATAAAGGCCATTTCTCATGGAAATATTTCCCTTAGGTATCTTTTACCAGAAAGTTCTACATTTAGAACAAAGAAAGAATGCCTAGCACTATGCGTGTGTATGAAAATAACAGAGCCATCAGCTAAGCAGTCCCACAAACACTGAGAAGACCATCTTATCACACAAGAAAGAACAGTAGACTTGACTTTCCTGACTTGCTAATTACCAGTTGCTTTTGTTTTAGTCCTTTAGGGTCAAAGAACTCAAAACGCTGATTCTATGTCTCAGTACCTAAAGTATGTACAATATAGGACACACACAGTGTGAAGAGATGGGGAAGGGCATTCCCAGTGACTTGGTTACGGGAAAGGTGACTGCAGGGAGAAGCGGCATCCAGCTCCCTCTTCTGCCCCCTTGCCTCACATCTGCTTCCCTGGCTTCAGAGAGCTGCCTTCCTACATGGAAATTTCAGACCTACTGCAGCAAACCCTTTCCTCCTTTCCCAGCCTAGGTAATATCAAGGTTTTTCGTAGCATGAGTTTTGTATTCTTTTCCACAGCTTTTCTCCTGAGCAGGTGATATGAGGTCTACAAATTTTCCAAGAGGGCTTTTAAAATTTTTTAAACTACTCAAAATGTCAATAAAGTTGGAAGGAGCAATTATATTGGATATAGTTATCTATGACTCTGATTTTATGACCTCATAGAATGTAACACCAAACCCATCTGAAGATGCCAATTTGGTAAAATAACCAATAATGTTTTCCTCTCCTTCTTAGGCCCTCACCTTCCTTTCCCTTGACTTTTGTGCTGGTATTCTAGCCAATCTAGCAGCTTGCGGTCTCTTCCCACTTCAGTCCATCCCTGGGCTGCTCCCCAAATGATCCTTCTACTCGACGACTTGCTTATGACCCAGTTTACTGATTTTTGATAGTTTCCGGTACTGCAGGATAAAGGTGTGGTTACTCTGAGGCATGGCATGCAAGGCTGGGCACAACTACCTTTCTGGCCTTAAACCTTTTCCTGTTCATAACTTATGCCTTTGCAGAATTTCAGCCTTGGGAGCTTGCCATCTCTCTTAAGCCTCCCTTGACTCCATGAATTAGTCAGGCTCTCCTCTGTAGTAAGATAGTGACGACTGGATACTGGATATTGGAATTATTGTTCATCTAAAGAAGATCATCAATTCTTAGGAAATGGCCTATGTGTGTTCAGTAAATTAGAAAAGCTGGATTACTTCCCATTTGTGCAGAGCTTTCTTAAATCAAAATCATGAGCCCTAAGAGGTTTTATTGGCTCCAAAGGATGACCTGTAAGTTTGAGGCCACATTTGGCGAATCACATATGTCTGTAGACGGGCATAAGAGGATGTAGGTGCATAAGTGTACCAAAGCCAAGGATACATGGGATTCCCTCTAAAGTTGGCTAGGTGAAATAAATTTGATTTTTGATAAACACGCAAATCACCATAAATCACTTTCGTATAAATATGTTTTATTGCAGAGAAGTTATAACTATTTACATGCTGTAACACATCACAACATAAATTTACCAAATATTTTTCATGGTGGGATGCTGTAGGTTTCAGATAATAGTTTCAGAAGAACCACAGATTAAGTGAAGAGACTTACAGCTTTATTGACTCTACAACTCTCGGTTGCTAAATGCTAGAAGTCAAAAGGCAGTGTTTCTCAGTCCTACCTGTCACCACTTGCATGCAGAAACCTAGGAAGCAAATACAAGAGAACTGTCGAGTTTCAAATCCATATTGCCACCAAAGTTGACAATGGGCTGAGTTACAGTTCATGTTGTAAAGCATTTAATTCTTGCATAAAATATACAGTTCTATTAAGGTTGGTATAAATCTACTTATTTATAAACCCTGGCTTAAAAACAAGGACGGGAGGCAGCCTGCACATGCATTGAGAAGGACAACCTAGCAAATGTTTGTGACCTTAACAGTGTGGATTCACTTTCTTACTGTTACTGATCTAGGAAAATAACCTCAAGAATTGTAGGTTTAAACTTCTCGTGGTGATAAGTAATGGCAATGAAACTCTAGGAAAGACCCGAGGCACTCTCACGATTTATGCTGGTGGAGGAAAATCTATGGACTGTAAATGTCACTAAGGTATAATTTGGCAAGTCTTCTTTAAGCCACATCTCCAGCAGGATCATCCTGAAGTGCAATAAAAAGTCACCGATGCTTGAACTGCTTATTTCTCAAAAAGTGAATAAAGTGCTAACAGACCTTGAACATAAATGAAACAAGTTAGGTGGGCCTAGAAATTCCAAACCAAGTTCATAAATATACCTTAAAGTTGTGTTCCGAGGTTACCAAATAGAGAGGCCTTGACTGGAAAGGAAGAAAAGAAGGAAGTAAATGAAGGAAACACAGAAAAATAGAATTTCTCTATCTCTTCACACCTACCCCACCGACCTGAGTAGCGCACAAAGCAAGCGAATGGGTGAGGAAGATGGACGCACAGCTTTGCAAATGGCGACGTGCTCGCTTCCTCCTGAATAGAAACCAGTGAGAAAATCCTGATGAGGAGTAAGGAGAAGTCCTAGTTTCTAGCTTCCACTGAGAATGATCAGCTCTCACAACAGCCCTCTATCTACCCTCTGATTCCCTTTTCTCTCCTCTTACCCCCCTAGCATGTTCTCCTTGCTGCCCAGGAGATGAAAAACTGTTTGTTAGGCTGGAAATGTCCTGGCCAAGGAAGCCGTCGATCCTTTAGCATCTAGCATGAGAGAAAGGGAAGTCTGCGTTCTATCCTTAAGTGATTCTTCTTTAAATAAAATGAGACCGAGCTTTGGAATGGAATCTCTTGCATGATCACATCAGTAGGGCTAAGTCAGCAGCTTAGGATTCTCATGCCAAGTGATCAGGGTAGAATGCAGTACATTTTACAAATTTTGCTCTGGGGGCTGTTTTGCTTTGCAAATAAACCTTGCTTTTTTTTTTTTTTTTTTTTTTTTTGAGCTGGGTGGCTCGCAATGGCAATTTGCAGGACTTGTAAGTTTTCCAGCGCTTCGCGGGAGGAAGAGCCCACACCACCTTATAGGCTTTGAATAAATCAGGTTATAAACCTCTTTGGGATTGAAGCCCAGCAAGTGTTACCCCTAGCTGAAGCAATGGATAAGAGTTATGAGAATAAGTAGTTTAAGGTAATTTAAAATATATATTCAGTATGCATAATAAAAATATATCCGTACAATGATCTTGATGCTATCATAATTTTTCTCTTTAAAAAAATACTCCCTTGAAAGTGCTATCAGTAGCTCCCTTCCTGTCTGTGTTTTGAAAGGCAAATTCCCTGACCCCGCAGTACTGCTGTAGTTCTCATGTCACTCCTAGAGTCTTCCCTTTTCAGTGGTAATAGTAATGCGCAGTATGTTTTTCTCACTCTTAGCTTCTTCCTGGCGAAATGCTGCTAAGTATGGAATACTGAAAGAATTAAAAGGGACAGTAAATTGGAATGAAGGTGTACCTGTCTCTGACTCTAAACAAACAATAGGTAAGTTGTCCTTTATTGAGACATACGACTCGGTAGGACCCCTGGATCTCTGAGTCCTAACAAGAAGTGCAAAACAAGTAACTCAACTTGGTATAAAAAACCCTGATTAAGACAGTATAACAAACCATGATGTGAAACAATAGAGTCAAATCCAAATTCACAATATATAAACCACAGCCAAAACGGAAAGATTTTATCATAACGGTTACGGCTTCCCAAGCCAGAGAAAGCTTACTGTACTTCGAGAATCAACTAGAGTTGGTATAGCAGGGATTCTGGAACTTGCAATAACAATTGAGTAGCTGCAGATTGCATAAATGTGTTGTGTCACGTAATATCAAAGTTATTTGCAAAAATTATACACTCTGGAATGCTTGAATATGAGACACAACAATGTACTGAAACATACATTTATAAGAAAATGAGAGCAATCATTAATATAAAAGGTATTTTTGGGATGCATTATGTGAGCAGTGCTATCAAGGTTAAACAGGTGAAGGAAGTTCAGTTAGCTACTTAGAACTTCAGTCATATAGGTCTATACCTTCCTTCTTCTTCTTAGCGGAACCTCCTACCTCTTCTGTGTCTTACGGTTGACCTTGCTTAGGATTTTCAAAGTGCCACGGGTAAATACTGATCAGGGGCAGACAGCGAGGGCGACTCCCAATAACCATGCTGAAATGTAAGGCTTCTCCTCGTGTTCCCAGGGGAAGACAGACTTCCCTTGGCCAGTCTCATTCTTCCACTGTGGCGTTGCTCTGCCCTCCCTGTCTTTTTCCACTTGTGACTTTCACGTTTCCCTCCAATGACAAACACTCCTTGGGAATTTTTGATCCTTCTGTCTTCTGTTGAATTCAGGGTTTCTTCCTTCTCCTTTTCTTTCTGGGGATGCTACACTTTAAAAGGATCCCTGACCTCTTATTTCCGAGGCCCTGCCATCTTATTTGCACTTAGAGTGCAAGAGGCAGGTAAAGCTACACTTCTTTCAGCATTTGGTTGATCTGCGGCCTCAAACTCCCAAGGACACACCTCAGCTCGTGATGTTAAAGGCTGCCAAAGGTTATTACTTGAGTTATAGGAGCGGGGCGCATTTTCCTCGGGGGAAGAGGTCTTTTTTTCCTGGTCTCCTGTTGGGTTGAGATTTTCATTCTTGATTTTTGATGCTACAACTTTGGGGGGCGGTTCTTCGTACTGCCCAGCACACACATTGGTGGCATAATGCTGACTGCCGTTCTCATCTTTGGCTCTCCCTGGGGGAACCTGAGTCTTAGAAATCAAAGGCTTCTCATCTTCAAAACTGGGCTGACCTTGGCTCTCCCAAGGGCATACCTCAGCCTTGTCTATGCTCTTCTGACTGGTTTGCTGACATAGTTCAGCTGCCTTGGCCTTCTGATGAGATTTCTCCTTTAAGGAAAAAGTTGGGTTTTTCTCCATCTCAGAAGCTGCAATAGATACGTGTTTTTGAATTTTTGATTCTGAAGGCACGGGACCAGGGGCCAGGTCATAAATCTCCCAAGGGCACACCTCCCCTATGTCAAAGTTGTTCTTCTTCTTGGTGGTGCCTGGGCTCATGTCAGAATTGGCAGTGGGCGGGTTGACCCTTTGTTGCTTCATAATCCCAGATTTCTGAGGTTTTCTTGGCTCCTCCAAATGATTGGAGTTTTGGGGGGCAGAATCTTTAGTCTCTGCGTTATCTGAATTGGAGTACTTTCTGTTTGTTTCTTTCTCTTTTGGCAGAGGTTTCTGGGATTTTGCACGTTCTTCCACGCCTGATGTTTGGGTTTTCCCAGCCAATCCAAGAGTCTTCTCCTTGGCACTTGCTATGACACTGAGAGACTTCTGCAACACGGATGTTCGGGGGTGGCCCGGCTTCTTCTCTGAGCTGAGATTGTGAGCGCTCGCCGACTTACACACCAAAGGCACAGACTCTGTGGACTCGGTCTCACTGTTTTCTTTCAGCTTCTGGGTAAGTTTTTTACTTGACAGAGACTCCAGTGTGGAATTTTCTGTAGCCTCCTCTTCCTGGCTTTCCACGGGTAAACTGTTGGACTCTTCTGTGTGCTCTCTCACGTGATCGTAAGTGCTGTGCGATTTCTTTAGCGAGAAGACTCGGTTTCTCAGGGACTCCTCTTTGGGCTTCCCGGTGTTACCTGAAGACTCTTGTGGGTTCTTCCTGGTCAGGGCAGTGCTTTTGGCCATGCTGTGGTCTGTGACTTCCTTGTCCTCTTTGGAACACTGCCTGCTGACCGTCTCTGGGATCTCGGTGATGCGCCTCATGATCGAACGGCCCAAGCCCTTCTTGGAGCACCGCTTTTTCTGGAGGTGGGGGTTATTCGTAATCATCTTCTTTCTTTTATATATTTCCAGCTGGGCATAGAGTTTCTTCAGCTCATCCTGCCAGAACAAGAGCAAATTCACAGAGATGCGGAACTTAGTGGTTCAGCTAGATACTATTACTAAATGTAACTTGGTCAGTAAGCTTGAGCTCTTTAGGGAAATTGACCTACAGCTTTTCATACCATGTGTGCTCATCAACCTTCTCCTCATTCTTACTTTTCTGATGAACCTGTGCTCTGTTACCCATAGAGTTTGAACTTTAAGACTTGAACACATGCATCCTGCACATGGAATGAGCCCGTTGGACTTACAAGTTGTGTGGGCCGGACTTGACCTTGGCCATAACAAAACACAGCATATCGTGTTTCCTAATCAATACTGGAAGCATCATGTAGCCATTGATAAAATTACCTGTAATGTGGATTAGGTTTAGGGGACAACAGACCATCAATTACTAAAAGCAGCTTCTTACTCCAAATGCTGATATACTGTCACAGATTACTTTCAGTAATCTGGGCTCTCTGCTCGCAGATCTATCCTATCTCTCTAACAGCAAGATGTCAGAACCTGTAGTAGGGAACGTGTATCATCAGTTCATTATCACGACTGCTCCTAAGTCAGTTGTGACTGTCAAGATTGGCCTGTGTAACTTCTACCATGATGTGGGTTTAGAACCGGGTTAGCCCCGCATTCGATGTTTTCAGTTCTTACGCACACACGTCCCCCCTCTCTTTTTCCCCCTGGACCCGTGTGCACACAGGTGAGCATATGGATATGCCAGCCCACGCGTGCTTGCCTGTGTGCACGGGGTGAGCCCGAAACAGGAAGGCTGAAATACAGACATTACCCGAATGTCTTCTGGGTCTAAGCTGTGCTCACTCCATGCGGAGTTGATGCTGCTGTTCAGGTAGGACCCAGACCGGCCCAGGTCCAGCTCATCTTCATACGCTTCTGTAGCAATGTCATCTCGGGGGTTATTGCTTGAATGTGAAAACTGCAATAGAGACGCAGAATGAGTGCAGACATTAACCCACTGGCAGACACAGCAGAATAATTTGTTAAAGGTTCTCATGTTCATATCATTTCTTCAGCTTAGATGAACTCATTTACCAAGCTTCTTAGAAAAGATCTGTTGCTATATTTATGTTTTGCTTTTCACGTTACGCACTAGAGCTCTTAGGCCATCTTAATACGTGGTTCCTTAATACGTGGTTCTCCTACCCTTATTTTCATCTTTGTCTTTTCTCCAGGCTCACAGTGTTCACTTACGTTAATCCTCATATATGTTATTTGCATTCTGAGAATGAAAATAAGTCGAAAAACCCACACAAATGTTCTCCAAGAGTAGGAATTTGGACCCACTGGCAGCTGGAGGGAAATATTTTTTTTGAGCAGTAGGGTCTACCTTGCGTTTCTTGTTCTGCATCACCCAGGGGAGGCTATATGTCACCGAAAGGTACAACTGGCCCTGAACACAGACAGTGACTTTGAGTCTACTACACATGGCTCCAGAAATGTTGCCTCCGAGACCTAGGGGATAGGAGATCTGCATGCTGGCATCAACTGTGTTGATAGTCAGATCGGAAACAAATCACAGACACTCTCTGGAGCACAGGGCTCTTTAAGCCTAAAATGATGATGATATCTGAGCTTAAAATTCAAACGTTCACTGAAATTACAGAATTTTTTCTCAAGCTCAGCATTCTCAAATTCCTCCTTCGTCACATTTTGGGGTATTTTTATTATTTTCACGTGGCCTTTGGGTACGTTTCAGTTTCATGGACTCTTGCTATCTCTACTCTTTATCAAATGGAGATGTGGAGAAGAATGAATTGGGGAAATGATGGAAAGCAGGGAGAATCAAAACAATCTGGCCATCTCACATAACATATAAACCAACTGATTGTCCTATGAAAATGGAGAGAATGGTCTAGGGAACATGGGTTCTCTTCTCCCAGCTGCTCATCAGGTCAAATATTCCTTTAAAAAATTAACACATCACCCTTTCATGATACAGAGCTATTTTAATGTTAATGTTTGTTAAAATATTTAAGTGGCAGGTGAACATCTATATAACATAACATGAAACAGCAATTCTCTACGTAAGGAATCATGAACTGACTGAGAAACCACAGAAACAGGTGACTCTTTCCTTCACTCTTCTACTTACAACTATGGTTCTGACATGTGTCAGGAATTTAAGGCCATAAAGATGAATAAAACAGAGTCCGTCTCCTCCAAAATCGCAAATGCTGCTAGGAAACCACCCAGAAGTGATTGATAAGAGAGTAATTGTTCTTGAGCATAGTCTCAGAGATGATAGTGAGTTTAAGGAACACTTCTCAGATAATATCCATTTTCTGCTTTATTATTTGTCCTTAGTATTTATATCTATCTAAAAGAGTATTTTGAAAGCTTATCTTAACCTATTTCTTCTGTGTCCCCCTTGTGCACAATATAAATACCACAAGAGCACATATTTTATCTGTTCGTTATTCTTATTCCAGGATATAGAACAGAGCTTAGCAAAGCCCCTCAATGATTTTGTTAAATTATCTCAAGTTGCGATATAGTTCACATACCATAAAATTCTCGAATTTCAATTGTACAGTTGAGTGGTTTTGGTATATATTCACAGTGCTGTGCAACCATCACCACTTCCTAATTCCAGAATATTTTCATCACCCCCCAAAAGAACCTTAAACCCATGAAACTGGTCATTTCTGTTTCCTCTCTTCCCTAGCTAGTGACAACCACTAACTTGCTTTCTGTCTCAACAGAGCGGCCTGTTCTGGACATCTCATATACATGGAATCACACAAGATGTGGCCTTTGTGTCTAGCCTCTTTCACGTGGTGTAATGTTTTCCAGGTGCGTACTAGCTATAGTGCGTACTGGTGCTTTTCTCCTTCCTCTTGTTGGGTAGTGCTGCATTGTGTAGATGACACTGCATTGTGCTTCTGCATTTATCAGTTGATGGACATTTGGATTGTTTCCACTTCTTAGCTATTATCAATAAGTCTGCTAGGAACATCCATGTACCAATCTTTGTATAAATATGTGTTTTAATTCTTACCCCTGAATGAGCCATCTGCATATGTAGTACCTCCATTTAATAAAAATGTAACCATATAATGCAAAGTATGAAAAAGGAGAAGATAAATTGCAGTAACAGATTAGTCCATGAAAACTGTGACTATTTGGTATATATAATTCAAGTAAGGAAGAAAATAGGAATTTTGTTCTGTTTACATTTGTTTGCCCTTTTAGTCAGGCTGAATTTTAATGTTTCACTTATGAGAGAAGGTAAAACCTGGAGTGAATGACAAGCAATCATAAATTCCTGTCTCAGCTGTGTTAATATTATATCGTGTGGTACTAATACAGATAAATGATGTTCCAATATTTTGTTTTTCTATGTGTAAATGAGGAAAATAACAATAATGCTCTAACTTGGGGGTACCTGGTTGGCTCAGTGGGTTGGGGCCTCTGTCTTTGGCTCAGGTGGTGATCTCAGTGTCCTGGGATCGAGCCCCCCCCCCCCCCCCCCCAGGCTCTCTGCTCAGCAGGGAGCCTGCTTCCCTCTCTCTCTCTGCCTGCCTCTCTGCCTACTTGTGATCTCTGTCTGTCAAATAAATAAATAAAATCTTAAAAAAAAAATGCTCTAACTTGTGTGTTTTTTTCCCACACTCTGATATCATATTATTTCATTGTAAGCTGTTTTACTGCTATTGTGTCATAGATGAAGAAACTGAACCTCAGAGAGATGAAAAGTTTTGGCTAATGTCATACTGTATAGCCAGTGTGAGTGGAACATATATTCTTAGTCCTGGTATTCTGAGTGCTGGCCCATTTTCCCCCACTTCGGTATGCTGTCTAGATAAGTCTTTGCCAGAATCTATCATTATGAAGCAAGATTTTTCTATACAAAATATTATAATTATTTACATAAAAATTTTCTGAATGTTTACAACACAAAGCTTCCTGAATATAAATCCAAACAGGAGGATTCTTAGAATCTCTTTAAAAATTACTTTGATGTTATAGGTACAATAAAAGTTACCTTGGACCCATAATTAAATCATATCTGAATATAAAAATATTTGAGAAAGGGGCACCTGGGTGGCTCAGTGGGTTGAGTTTCTACCATCAGCTCAGGTCATGATACGGGGCATCCTGGGATCAAGCCCGCTTGGGGCTCTCTGCTCAGCAGGGAGTCTGCTTCCTCCTCTCTCTCTGCCTGCCTCTCTGCCTACTTGTGATCTCTTTCTCTGTCAGATAAATAAATAAATTCTTAAAAAATATATATTTGAGAAGGAGCCAAACCAGATGATGAGTTTTGTACAAACTGAAGCATTTAAAAATTCTATGGGATGTTTAATAAATTCTAAAAGAAAAGAGATATCTAGTTCCCTGAGGAGAGAGCTTTAAAAACATTTTAGTGTCAACTAAATCTCCACACTTCCCTTTCCCTATATTGCCAGATACTTTTTTAAAAAAAAAAAAACAGGAAACAACTCCATGCTTATTTAAAATAACTGCCTTGCAAGAGAAAAGTAATGTTAAAGGAATACCTTTGGAATCAAAAGCAACCCAATGGTGACTGTCACAGTCAAATGAGTATGTGCAAAATACAGCATTAGCATCCAGTCAGACTGAAGTCTTGAGGCAAGAACGAATCTGAAATGAGAATTCACCAAGTTAGTAATCCAACAAGATCTCTATTTAAAATACTAGGATATTTGGAAACTTTTTCCTCAGTGTTTTTTAAAAGCAAGCAAGCAAGCGTGAAGAAAGCTGTACTGTGGTCTCTGTGACACACATTTTCATCACAGAACAAGACCCAAAGTAACTGACTGCATACGTAAGACATGAACTCCTTATTTATTATTTTAACTTATCAGTAGTAGGAAAGACAGCATATAGACATATAATATGCTAATCATTTCCTGGAATAATTATTTTGCATGTAAATGGAATGTCTAAAGTGAAAACAGTGAACACATGTGAATTCAAAAGAAGAGATTTACAAACTAGTGGCTTCAGGCAAATTTGGGTTATAAGACACAGCCACATAATTCTTGATTCTAATCTTTTTCCTTTGAAAACATTAATTAAGAAAAAAGGGGTGGGTAGTTATCTGTCTTTCTGAATGACCTCAGAGGTTTAAATGATAAACAATGCAATGGTTAAATGAATATACTAATGGTTTGTAATATTATCTTTTAAAATAAAGATTTTAGTTGTTGTGAAGTGTCAAGTTGTTTTAAGATAACTGAAAATCCTATCTTGCTGAGGAATTTATAAAACGGTGTTCTAGGACAGTCCTGCAGGCAACATGTATAGGAAAAATTCAGTACTGATACCTACTCTGGTGATTTTGGAATGTTTTCTTGAATCAGTAGGTATGTGTACACACTAAAACTCAGGTTTTAAGGACTTATTCTCTTGCAGAAACCAGGTGATGTTTTATTAAGGTCATTTTACAATCATACTCTTCTTTTAATTTTTTCCCATGCATTGTTTATCCATGAAAGCTAAATATGAGATTTTATTGTGTTTGGAATTAAATAATTGGCATTTTTAAAAAAGATTTACTTATTTATTTGAGAGAGAGAAAGAGAGAGAGAGAGAGGAGAGCCGAGGGAGGGGCAGAGGGAGAGGAAAAGGAGAGATTCCCCACTGATCGCCTGCAGAGCCCCATGTGGGGCACAGCTCCCCACCTGGAGATCATGACCTGAGCTGAAATGGACAGTCAGATGCTCCACTGACTGAGCCATCCAGGTGCCCCTAGAGAATTAGCATCTTGATACACTGATATATGTCATCATATTTGAAAAGCTAACACCTTAAGAAAATGCTTATGATATAATCATAAAACAAATACATGAATCTAAAAATAGAAGAAACTTATTTTATACCTGCATTATGCCATATTCATGACAAATTTACTAAGTAAATTAGCATTATTAATACTTGAAACAAAATTTCCATCAAGGGGATTTCTTCCTCATTTTCACCTCCATCCTATCCCCTGTCTTCTCACCTCCCCTCCCCCGCAAATCGAGCTAAAGTGGAAGCTTGAGAGTTGTTCAACATGGAGATAGTTTCCTCTGTGTTTGGAGACATAAAACAGACTTAAATATATACATAGAAGTACAGAAAGTTCATGATAGTTTACCTATAACCAAATAGCATTTTAAGAATTAACATCTTCTCTAACTCCTTGGCAAAAAAAGTAGCTTTATGCCTGCCTTGAATATGATTAAATGAATATTCACTTTGTTTGGGAATGACATACTTTTGACAGATCCTGTGCTGGGTCAGAAGAGATTTTTTTTAAGCACTGAAATAGGATCATCATACTCAATAACAAGTAACAGTATCTGAGGCATAGGACTGAGGCATAGAAGCAATATAAAACTGTGACCTGGAAAATTATACAATCCAAATCTGTTGGGGCCATTTCCAGCACTGGAGCAGACAGTTATATCAAGTGAGATGGATTTACATTCTAAAAGTGTTCTCATGCACTGCGAATTTCTGTCTCAAATGCCAACACAAGTGAACCTGAAGCCAGCCCGACGATATCTGAAAGGAACATGGTTACATATATTTTAAATTAAAATGGTGAGTCTTCCAAAAAGTTAATTTGAAGTACTCTATACTAACATCAACTGATCAAATTAATCAGTTTTTAAATACTGCTAGGTTTGTTACGTTGCAGTTCTGAGTAGAAATATCTTAAGAAAAATTGGGTTTTGCAGTCTTCTTAAAGATTTTTCTTTAAAAAACTTTTTCAACTTCTAAAAAATAGATCTAACAGTCAGGAACATAGGAATAGTTAAAATCGAGGTTAAGAATAAAAGCAAACTTTTTAAAAGTCTTGCACTTTCCCAAAGCTTTGCTCTATGCTTAGTAAAGGATTATAGAACAGATTAGGCAAAATGCCTTCTGCATTATTAGACTTCTAGACTTAATCCTTTTAGTTTATTTTTGTTCAGTCTGACAATTTGGTGAGAATAAAAGTAAATCTGCATATAAATATGCAGTCATAGCTTTAAGTTTATATATTTATGTATGTAGATACGTATCCACAGTTACATACATATAATTTTATATTTTAAGCAAATAAGAATGAACATATATGCCTATTGATAGAGAATATCTGCTGATGTTGGAGGATTTATTTAATATTATTTCATTCTAGTAAAAATCTACAAAGGTGGGTCTAGTTGATTTATATTATTATGTTATTGTTTCCTATTCTTATACTTTATCAACACTGGAACCACAGCAGGTATGAGTTCAGTCCACATGTAAATAAGAAATTATATATACTTGATTTCTTTAATTATTACTGCCTATTGCTTTCTCCCTGCTCATCTCCCTAAAATCATTGTTCTGTAGATTTACTATGTTAAACTATAATTTAAACTATAATTCCATCTTTGGTCCTTTATGGCCATACAATTAAATTTCCAAGACAGAGTAGCTAGTCTATACTATAATTCTTTGAAGCCAACATGCCACGATCTAATTGGGTTTGGTCTATGGAGAAAGGTAAGTTGAATTTGGAACTTAAAAGTAGGGCTTTTCAGCAATGTCCACAATAGCCAGACTGTGGAAAAAACCTAGAATTCCATCAACAGATGAATGGATAAAGAAGATGTGGTATATATACACAAAGGAATACTATGCAGCCATCAAAAGAAATGAAATCTTGTCATTTGCAATGATGTGGGTGGAACAAGATGGTATTATGCTGAGCAAAGTAAGTTAATAAGAGAAAGACAATTATCATATGATCTCCCTGATACGAGGAATTTGAGAGGCAAAGTGGGGGACTTGGGGGGTAGAGAAGGAGAAAATGAAACAAGATGGGATCGGGATGGAGACAAAACATAACAGACTCTTAATCTCACAAAACAAATTGAGGGTTGCGGGGTTGGGCGGGTGGAGGGAGAGGGTGGTTGGGATATGGACACTGGGGAGAGTATGTGCTATGGTGAGTGCTGTGACGTGTGTAAGCCTGATGATTAACAGACTGTACCCCTGGGACTAATAATACATTATATGTTAATTTAAAAATTTTTTTAAAAGGTAAGGCTTTCCGTTCAGGTTTTTTTAAGCTTATCTAAGAAAATACCAAGGCCAGTCACTCTGCTACTACTAGAAGTTCTCCCTGTTCAAAACTTAAAGGGACTATACAGTTGTCTCAAGGGAGGCTGATCTTTTAAGTAGGTCATGTCTACCAACACAAAGTCTACTAGGTTCAACATGTACAACTCAGTCAGATCTTGTGTCTATGTGAACCCAGCTAGGCTGATGGGTTGTCTGGGACTCTGTAAGAAAGATCTAATCAAAGTAAGAAAGTTATTATTATTATTATTGTTTTTTAAAAGCAAGCTCTATGCATAGTGTGGGGTTTGAACTCATGACCCTGAGATCAAGAGTCGCACGCTCCCTAACTGAGCCAGCCAGGTGCCCCCAGAAAGCTATCCTGAATGAATATTTAGAATACATTTCTCCTCAGACAACTATCATATGATCTCCCTGATATGAGGAAGTGGAGATGCAACATGGGGGGTTAAGGGGGTAGGAGAAGAATAAGTGAAACAAGATGGGATTGGGAGGGAGACAAACCATAAGTGACTCTTAATCTCATAAAACTGAGGGATGCTGGGGGTAGGGGGGTTGGGAGAGGGGGGTGGGGTTATGGACATTGGGGAGGGTATGTGCTATGGTGAGTGCTGTGAAGTGTGTAAACCTGGCGATTCACAGACCTGTACCCCTGGGGATAAAAATATATATTTATTAAAAAAAAAAAAAGAATACATTTCTCCTCACCTCGGCCAAGTATTAAAACAGAATTTTCTGAAGAGTGGCTTCTATTACCAGATGTCAGTTGATGTAGGGGGATATCATGGTGAATGGTTTGGAAAGTGCTGGTTAAAGAAACTTAACGAGCTTTCCTTACAGCTGGACTTCCTGGTATGTCACACTGTGCTGTGACATTCCTAAAAGGGAGCTACCAAATGCAATGTGTTAAAAACATACACAAGCGTGTAAAAACATCCAAAAGTGATATCCTACTATATTAACAGTGCTTATCGTCTTTGGGTGGTTGGATTAGGCAGTTTATTTTTAATCATTTTATGATTTATCTATAATAACCACCTATTGCCTTATTAGGAATTTTTAAAAGTTCATTTAAAAAATAACTATCTTGCCTACTTGGGCAAATTGAGAGTTTAAAGTCCATTAAGGGATGCCTGGGTGGTTCAGCGGGTTAAAGATTTGTCTTCAGTTCAGGTCATGATCCCAGGGTCCTAAGATCCGAGCCCTGTGTTGGGCTCCTTGCAGCAGAGAGCCTGCTTCTCCCTCTCCTTCTGTTTGAAGCTCCCTCTGCTAGTGCTCTCGCTGTCTCTCTCTCAATGTGTTAAATAAATAAATAAATAAAATCTTAAAAAAAAAAAAGTCCATTGAAAAAACATACTTAATGATGAAAACAGAACAGATGTAAATCTTAAGATAGAAAAAGATAAAGATTAGGTAAATGCTTTGAACAGATTTAATTTCTCGGGCAATTAATTTGATTCTAAGAAATACAGCAGCTGATGTTAGGGCAAAAGTAGGAAACCCTTTGCATGACCTGGTCACATTCTGACAACAGAAGACATTTAAACAGAAGACATTAAACTGTAAATTTCTTCTGGCATGCTTATAACTCTTTAATTGGTTTGTTAATACAGCATTTAACTTACAAATGGTTCTAGAGAAGCATGTTTGTCATATCTTGAAACACAGGTGTTTGATATTCTGGAAACAGACAATGAAAATGCAGCTTTTCTTGGGAGATGGTTTGGGAGAAATGTGCAGGCTGTGGGGCTCTGCCCACAACAGTGTTCTTCAGTGCTCACTACAGGGCATCCCCTCTCACATCCTTCAGCTCTAGTCCGAGGAGAAGTGAGAGAGCCTTCTTTTTGCCTATTTGTAACATCGTATTTTGTTTTGCATCTTTCCTTCCTCTTTTCCTTTTCTCTTTTCTCTCTTTCTTGAGAGGGGGCAAGACAAAGCAAGGAGGCAAATTCCTTTGATTCCTGGTGCTTTGATGGAATTTCCAGGGTTGTCAAATCATAAATACTTCTTTTCTTACTTAAATGTTGAAAAAGTGTAGGTATGCCTAAGGTTCAGCTGTTCTCTGGTATCATCTATTCCTACAAATGCAAGATGTAACTTGATAATTATTGACTAAAGTGAGAAATGATAAATATCTTCTAAAACTTCCAAAGATCCACACCTTCCCACTCTGACTCCCACCATTATTTATCACTGTTTTTCCACTGAGGGAAAAGACAAATATTCAAAATTTCTCATTAAATTCTTATGTATGTCCTAACTTTGTCAAGCAAATGAATGACATCTTTTTGTTGCTTTGCAAGTTATAGGATTCCTTTTTTTTGTTCTCACTGAGGTTTTCATTTCATTTTCAGATATAAATAGGTGTATACTCTCCAAAGATAAGTCATACATATTTCATTTTGTTCACTATCATAAGCTACTTGCTTCCTCCTTTGTACTTACTGACTATAGTGATAAATGGGATATTAAGAAATGGAGGACCAGGCCATACTAATAAAAAGTCATTGCTAAAATGTGATAGTGATAAAACCTCATTGCACACAAAAATCCAGTCATTGGGTTGGAGTGGTTTTTTTGGTTTTGAATTTAGCAGAACTAGTACACATAAGTTGACTATCTGAGTATTAAGATTTTAAAAGTGTAAACCAGTGTATTAACATGAATGGAAACATAGATGATTTATCTACATCTACTTTATAATGTAAGCATGTGTTGTTTTATATCTTCAGAACAGAAGACATTATATATCATAACAATATTCAATGATATTCCCATAAGTGGTTTAATTAATACAGTAATATTGGTTAACCTTCAAATAAATAAAGGTGATAAGAAAACATTAGAAGGAACTAAGAACATCAGTTTAGGAAAAAAAAAATATAGGGGCACCTGGGGACACAGTTGGCTAGGTGTCCGACTCTTGGTTTCAGCTCAGGGCATGATCTCATGGGTCCTGAGATGGAGCCCCACGTTGGGCTCTATGCTCAGTGCAGTCTACTTGGGTTTCTCCCTCCCTCTCCCTCTGCCCCACTCCACTGTGTATTCTCCCTCTTTAATAAATAAATTTTAAAAAACAAACAACAAGCTATCTTCATTTGCCATTTCTGCGACAAAGACATTAGTCAACTTAAAAACACCATCCTCCCTAAATCTTTCCATTATGCATGCTATCCAGTTTTGCTATTTAAGTTAAACTGAAACACATCAGAGAAACAAAACGGTTATTTACTAGCTCTACAGGGCACTTGCCTGATTGTGTGGAATACAGCAGAGATAATGAGCTCGTTGTGAACTGCAACAGCCATATAGCGTGGCTCGTGAAACGCTGATGGCACCGTCCGCACTGCATAGCAGAGATAAACACCCCACAAGAGGAATAAAAATTCAGCTGTGAGAAGGACAAAAAAAAAAAAAAAAAAAAAAGAAAAACAATTTTCCATTAGTTTTATAGGTGAATAATAGTGTAAAATTTAAGTTCTTTAGCATGCATTTTGTGTTTGTTATAGAAACATAAGTTCAGTTAGAAACAGATGCATATAAAATGTCATTCACGTATGAATACATATATTTATTTTAAGATTTTATTGAGTGTAACAGAAGATTTTACAAAGGTATAGTTTGGTTTTTCTTTTCTTTCTTTCTTTCTTAAAACAGTGGTTGGTGCTTCAGATTTTTCTTTTGCTAATACCTGGCTTTTTCCTAAAACAAATATAAAATAATTTTCCACATCCCCAACCTAAGTTTAAGATACTCATAGAGCATCTGGGTTGTAATGAAGTCATCAGGGCAACCAAGGCTTGTAATGTGTTTATATCCAGCTTCTAGAAATTTAAACTCTTACTGCATTGAATCTGGTTCCACACTGTAAAGATACCCATTGCCAGAAATGTGAAAAAATAGGTTGTTACAACATTCAGTGGCATATTTTATAAATGAACCATTATTTCTTCACACATGACAGAAATCTTATCTTTTATGGGTGGAGTGCTAAAGGCTTCATAAAATTCACAGTCATCTTATTTGTGGGGCTCAAGTTAGAAGAGACAAGCATAGCACAGCATTTAAACATAAGGGCTTTGGAATCACACTAGACCTGATTGGAAATTCTGGTTCTATCTCTAATTAACTTTGCATAATCTAAGCCAATTTAATATTTCTGGCCACAGTTATCTTATCTGGAAAATGACAATAACAAAAGTATATATTTCATGAGATTATTTGTTAATGAAATCAAATAAAGAATATAAAGCACTTAACATAGTTTCTGTCTGGTAGATATTAAATAAAGGAATAAATAAAAACACACGTTAAATGGTTCTTATTGTTGAACATCTCATTTGACTTTTTTTTCCAACCTGAACATCACTATTTTAACTCATACTGACCAATAATTGTTCAATCCATTTTCTGTCTTAGTGACACGACCTCACTGGAAGATAGTATCTAAAGAAGATCATATCTAATCAATCAGAGTAAAGAAGAAAGCTTTAATTTAGAGAAAGTCTTTAATCAAATGCATCACTTCGAGGTAACCTACTTACTTATCTATTGAAACATTGACTTCCATTTCCATATGCCAAGTTGTTTATCTGCCAAGCTTTCAGCATATTTCTGTCAGTATTTAAACAATAAGTAGTGCCCTAATTACTGAAAATCCCTTAAGTAAACACATCCTTCAAGAGTTGCTCTAAAACCCTGATGTGGTTAGAAGCCAAATACAAAATAAGCCACACTCAAAGATCTCCATGAGATTTATTCAGTCCCAGTTATTCAGTATGTTGGCCACTGGCCATGTGCTATAAATCTTTTTTTTTTGTCCAGCCAAGTTCTACTGGATCAGGAAAAGTGAATCAGGAAATGCTGAGGTCTTCATGTACAACTTTCCTTCCTACCTCTTGTATTTCTGTCCATGGTACTATTATTGCCTCTTTACCCAGGTGTGAAATCTCTGTGCCACCCTTCACTGGTACATTTCTACTTTGAGCTGTTTTTCATACAAATCATTCCTCTCAATGCCCACAATGACTATCCTTTAAGTGCCTATGATGTCATTCCTTATTGGTTATAATTATTTTTCAACTGCCCCGTCTAAACCTGGATTAACCCTGAGTTCATTCGTTCTTCATTTCCTGAAACTTCCTTTTGATCACATCAGGATTTGTCCAAATCCCTGGTACTCCATGTGGAGTAGCTGATTCACATTTCCACTACAGGATTCACTAAGACTCACTTAGGACCCAGGAAATAATTCCTGCCCCCCTAAAGGAAGACTAGAAGGGATTCATGCTTGGGTAGACATGTCCTCACTTTTAAGACTTTCTTGCCACCCAGGCTTCATGTTAGCTGCCCACTTTGCTTATTCTTTTGTACTTGTATACTTTTCTTAGCCCCTGACTTGTTTAGTTGCTGACCCTCAGGCTAGGCTTTCGTGAGGTGTCGTGTGCACCTTCATTCAGAAATCGGTAGTGCCTTACTATTATTTTACAGATGCTTGGTCCTGGCACTCCTTGTCCCCTATGACATCATGGTATATGTCCAGCATGATCTTCCAGTGCTCTCCAGCATGAACTCTAGGCTGATCTAGGCAGACTCATCCTTTGAACCCTTCAAAGATTCTTCTTGCTTCCGAGTCTTTGTTCATCCTATTGCTCACACGTGAAACTCCTCTCACCCGCATTTCCAAATCCAATCCAGTTTTTCCATGTTTAATTCAGGTCCTACCTCCATTGCAAGGCCGCATGAATTGATTTCACTTTGTGTGGAATTTTCCTTCCTCTAATATCTTACAGTTTTTAACCACTGATATTACGAAATGCAGAGAATAATGCCACACAATATATAACTGAGAGAAAATTGTGGAGTCTTGTTAATCACTCCATTCCTTAGCCCCATCTAGTAATGACCTTCACGGCAAGAAGTGAGTCTTTATCTATTTATTTATTTACTTACTTACTTTTTAAATTCAATATAATTAACATTCGGTGTTTATTCATTTCAGGTGTACAATATAATGATTCAACAAGGAACTGAGTGAATTATTTTTTTCTGCCTTTGCCTCCTTAGATAGCTCAACAGTACTGAGCAGACATAGATAAGATTCAATAAATATTTGTTGAATTGAAAGAACCTAGATTTTACCAGTTTCAGGTTATTAGAGATGTAGAACCTCTGTTACCTTGGCCACTCCCTCTAACGCTGCAGGCCTATACATGACCTAAAGGTTATACCGGCATTATTATTAATAGTGGTAACTGCTGTTTACTGATGGGCCACTAAGGGTATGGTGATGTGTTTGGCAGTTAAGAATAGTTAAAGCAAAAATATTTTTAAACAACAGCACAAATATATGGTGAAATTGAAGGATTCACATGTAACTGACACTGTCTCCTTTTAAAGACACTATCCCCTACCACTTATTATAGTGTTTTGATATAATGTTATCCTGAAGACTGAAAAAAGAAAAAGGAAAATAGCTAGGTTAATTAGGGTATGACAATGTAGAATTATATTTAAAAATAAGAGATAAAATAAGATTCTTCCTAATAGCTAATCTTAACATTAAAATCATTTCATTAGCAATATCAAACAATATGCTCTAGCTGAAAAACAATTTATTATTCAAAGTACCAATTAAACTAAATGTGATATATGAAAGTTATGCTTGGGAAAAAAATCAGTTTCATATAATTAACTTCAAACTAACATCGCAATTAGGAAAGAAAATATGCAGATGTTACCAAATTTTGCAGTGTTATTACGTGGGAGTTGAAATATGTGTTGTGCTTCTGCTTTAGAAAATAATTTCTGTGGTTAAAAGATTTTGATGGGAGGCATGAGTATAGTTAGAAAGGGAATTGCATTTATATTTAAAGATCCAAATAGGGCTTTCAGAAAACTGAGGTATTTTACTTTTAATCATAAGGGATAACAGTTTGAAAGTTAACTATCACAGCCTTTTAAAAATTAATAGACCATAATGAAAGTGATTTCACGTTATCATTCCAATGGGCTGGGTCAAGCAAAGAAGAGAGAATTTGTATCAGCTCTTGAAGGTGCCTTAGCTCTGTGATCTTAGAACACCTGCAACGGCTGAGAGAAAAATGACTTCAAAGTACAAAATCTCTCACAAGATGTGGTCTCCTGCCTTGCCATGTTGCAAAGGCATTTTTTCTTTTTCAGATTTTCTTTTTTATTTATTTATTTTTTATTTATTTTTCAGAGAGAGATCACAAGCAGGCAGAGAGGCAGGCAGAGAAAGAGGGGGAAGCAGGCTCCCTGCTGAGCAGAGAGCCTGATGTGGGGCTCAATCCCAGGACCCTGAGATCATGACCTGAGTCAGAGGCAGAGGCTTAACCCGCTGAGCCACCCAGGCACCCTGGCATTTTTTTCTTAATAACATTTTATACTTCTTAGCCCCTTTAAAAAAATGTTTATATGGCACAAATAAATGTACAGATGAAGCACTTAGGTTTCATTTTTTTTAATGTCCAAGGATTTCTTGTAACGTCTTCCTCTATTTTTCTCTTAAGTCCTTCAAATTAGATGTCCACTGTTTTTATGCTAATAACACGGCAGGTGGCACAGAAGTGATCATGAAGTATTAAACAAGCTCAATAATCCTTGAGAGTAGCTCAAGTTCCAGCGTTCTAGGGTTCAACTGGCACACACGAGCCTTTTTATTCTGGAGGCTTAGTTGCCTTTTCTTTGGTTAAAATGAGAACGGTTATCAGAGTTATAAGGCTTAAAACAAAGAGAATGATACTTTTGATAGAATTTTAAAGCTAGAAGAGACTTCATTAGACCATGTAGTCTGGGGTACCTTTTTTGAGTGTCTATATGATTGTCAAGATGGGTGGCTGGTGAATTGCTATTACTCTGTTTGCCTGAAGTCAGTTTATTCAGCGTTGGGATAGTGAGTGACGGAGAAGGTGGATGTTGCAGTGGGTTTCGCAAGCAGGGCAGTGCAGGCAGGAATGTCTGTCTGTTCCCTCCTCAGCTTTCTGGAAGCGGTGAGCCAAGGGATGGACAGTGTTGGGCTACCGAACAAGCCTGAGGAGAGCCTTGTATCCCTGTTGCCCTCACAGGGTTCACAACAGAGCGGAGCCTGGAGCACAAGGCTCTTTAGTTCCTGACCAGTGTTCTCGAAATTACATCCGTGGCCTGAGGGTTTCTTTTGCTCTATTACCAACAGGAAGAGACAAAACCTGGGGAAATATTGTTTTAGTCTTACGGAAGAAAATTTCCAAGCAGTAATTGTTTGTATTTAAACAATTAATATGTTAATCATAAATAGCTAGTACTTCCATTTGGACTAACTTTTTGTCCCCTCAATCAGACTTGGTAGTGAACATCTGTTGAATGTGTCAGGCACCGCGCTAAATGCATTTT